GGTCTACGTCGACGACCTTCTCGCCGCCAGCAGCAGTGCCGAGATGCTGAAGGAGCTGAAGGAGCTGCTGGAGGCCGCCTTCGAGCTGCGGGAGATCTCACCGGTGCAGAAGTACCTCGGGCTGGAGATCGTGCGCGACAGGTCGGCGAGGAAGTTGTGGCTACATCAGCAGGGCTATGCAGACAAGCTGCATAGGCGTTTTCTCGACAAGGAGCAGACCGGGCGCACGCCGAAGACGCCGGTCTCGGTCGACGCCTATGCGGAGCTTACCTTCGACGACGAAGAGGCACAGGAGCGCCAGGAGGAGGAGTACCGGCAGAAGGTCGGCTCGCTGCAGTTTGCGGTGACAACGACAAGGCCGGACATCGCCTTTGCCTGCAGCAAGCTGGGAAGCGGCCTCACGGTGAGGAGCGACCAGCACTGGCGCGAGGTCGACCGCTGCCTCACCTACCTCGCCAACACCCGTGACACCGCCCTGGAGTTAGGCGGTGGACTTGAGTAGCTGAAGCTGGTCAGCTGCGTGGACGCCGACGACGCCGGCGACAAGCAGAACCGGACGAGCACAGGCGGCTACGTGTTCGTCTACGGAGGGGCCGCAGTCTCCTGGTCGAGCCAGCGCATCAAGTGCGCGACGCTGTCGTCGACCGAGTCGGAGTACGTGGCGGCAACAGAAGCCGGCAAGGAGGGACGTCGACTTCGATTTCTTCTTGCAGAAATCCGGCAGCTGGATGCCGGGAAGCCGACTGTCCTCCGGGTGGACAACAAGTCGGCCATCATGGTCGCCGAGGGCATGGGGTTGACAGGCAACCTCAAGCACATGGAACGGCGACAAGCCTGGCTGGAGCATATGGTGAAGCGTGGGAAGTTCTCACTGAGGTACATCCCGACCGCTGAGCAGCCAGCCGACTTCCTGACGAAGGCGCTGCACTACCCGGCCTTCAACCGGTGCTCCGTTGCAATCGGCCAGGTGCGCCTGGTCGACGTGGGCAACGGTGACAACAACGTGCAGCAGTAGGTGCCATGCCCTCTTGCATGGCTGGTGCGGTGACCGGCGTGATGCGTGTTGGGTGCATGCCGACGAGCTATTCTTTGAGCTGTGCTGCCGTGTGGGCTGGGGGCCCAAGCGTGAACGCGGCAGGGGAGTGTCAACGGGAGTTGTGTGTTGGCCCCGTCCTCGCTTGGGCGGAGCCGACTTCGTTGTCGGGTGTGCGGGAGGTGCAGCCGACCTGCAGCAGTGGGCGCCGACTTGGAAGGGCGCCAACTTCAGGAGGTCGACTTGGGAGGTCGACCTGACAGGGCGTCAACTTGGCGACGCCGACCTGGTTAAGCCGACGCGGTGCGGACGGCTGACAGCTGTGCTGGACGACCTGGAGCTGGTCGACTAGGGGTCTGGTCGACCTGGAGCTGGTCGACCAGGTGTGTGGTCGACTTGGTGTGGTCGACCGGAGGTGGTCGTCGACTTGGGTGGTCGACGGGCACAAAGAGGAGTGGCGCCGACTTGGGGGCGCCGACCTGGGGTGTTGCCGACTTGGTGAAGTCGGCTGGTGGTCGTCGATTTGGGCAGTCGACGAGCACATACAACTTCTAGTCGACTTTCCCCGAAGATGTCGACACCAACCTGGTGGTTTCCAGGTCGACCAAGTTACCTGGGTGACGAAGTTCTGCGAAGAAGTGCGACGGTCGCCCAGGTGGTATTGGCGAGATCGACCTCGGTGGTGGTATCCCGAGGTCGACGTGGCTGATCAGGTGCAATCGTCAGCACGAGGACGACTTGGTGTGTGCGTTGTGCAGGTGACAAGGCACTGCATGCCAATCGTCTGTGAGCACCTGCGAAGTAGGTGCGCTGCTGTTATGCGGGAGCAACGCTGGCACGCCGTCCACCTGCAGCGTTGGCACGCCGTTGTGAGAGTACGACGGCTTATGCTAGCTATGCTTGCTTGCCTTTACTTTATAACGCTATTTCTAGCTTAGGTTTATTTTATGCATGCATGAATTGCTTGATTTCCTAGGCTAGGTGCTCTTCTATATTTTATTATAGTTATAGCACCGAGCTAGGTTGCATGCACCGAATTCTTGGCTCTTCGGTTGCCACCGAATTGCCTTCTACCGAATTCGGGAAGGGTCTGTTCGGGACGCTTCGCGACCCTCAGAACCTTCGCGTAACACCTGGTTACTGGGCCTTGTGTCGAGTCTATATATAGCCTCGTGTTGTACCCAGGTGATTCATTCAATTCAAACTCTCTTTTCTGAGCTCGATCCTAGATCCTCACAGCCGTGGACTTTGCACTACTGGAGCGCGGTCGACCAAGTCGTGCTAGAGCGCGGTCGACCATGCTGCGCTGGCAGTCAACCTGCTTGCATGCTAGCTCTGATGTAGCCTTGTCTTGCCAACTTTGTTGTACCATTGTTGTGAACTTTTGCTAGTGAAACTCTTGCCAACTTTCCCCGTGAACCAGCAAGTAGTGCAAGCACGAGTAAACAACTAAGTGAATGAACGCAGAGATCACACGAGCACCCGTGCCTAGCCCGTAGTCTAGCTCCCGTTGTAGTAGTTATCTCCGCACTGTCACACTCGAAGGGCCGCAAGTGTTGCCAAGATTAAGTTTGTGGTTCAAGTTTAATCGCTTCCGCATAGTGTAATAGCTGTCAACAGAAAAGACTCGAATCACCAACAGTGTGATACTGCAATATTTTCTCTCCCACTAATTCGCTTTGTTATTCATCGATTCGTTGAGCGATCGGCTAATAATCGCTTTTTGCCTCAGCTAATTTTCACACTTCACCGCCTACGCTAACCACGCAAACATTCAGTTTGCGTGATATACTCGACGACTAAGTGTAATCGGATGTCCCAGAGGCGCAGCGTGCTTTGCACACGTCCAGGCACCCTACTGCCATCTCGGGGGTGGGTATATCGGGAGGGAATTTCCGAGAAACTTCGTCCAGATTCACTCGCATTTAGGGCCCGCATAATGAATACTATGTTAAGTCAGGGCTCTCTAAGATATAAGGCTGACACACTATACACCAAAACAGGGATGAAAAAGGTATCACTCTGAATCAATCATGGTTCAAATTTCACTTGAACTGAAAAATCAGGGGACAGTGGCCCGTAGGTCTGGCTTGTCATACTAATCAGACTAGCCACTCCGATACCTGAGTGTAACTTTCTGGATAGTAATGCTTTCTCTGTACAAGGTACAGGCGCTTTGACCACCCCTCTTGTTTGTTAGCGAGAGTTGGTCACGCACAAGGATGTAAACCTTACTCATGGTGGAATTGGTTATGTATACACGTCTGCGTGAATTAATGTTGGAAGGTAGCACAACGGTACTAAGATTTTCTTGACGCGCGAAGGCAGGTGTGCATTTTTTGGAGAGAGGATTCAGAGTAGAGAAAATAGTTACAGATCATTGCATCGCTCAGTCAACTCTGATAATCCGAGTTCCCAAATAACTAACCCTGAAAATCTGAGCAGTGCAAAAGAAATAAATAAATAAATCCACGTGATTACGGTACCTATCTACACAATATGTGCCACCAACCCGTTCTACAGTGTATCACAAGCAAAATGCCCCCCCCCCCCCCCCCCCCCTTGCTGAAACTCTCCTGGAGAATGGCAATGGGGGTGCAATGGGTAGAAAAAAAAGAGTTTGAGACAATGAGCCAGATTGAATGTAAGCAGCGTACCAGCCCATAAAGTGGCACAATCCAACCATCGCTTTCGCATTTCTTGAGTCCTTTTTTATTTTATACTTTCTTTGCAGTAGGTGAAATAACATTATACAATGCTAAAAACACCATTCATCGGTCGTAAGTGTACTAACGGGCCCAAGTATAGCGTACCGTACGCTCATGGAAGCCTCTATGGTGGTTTATAAATCGGATGCCTTCAAGTTGCTACCTGCCCGTTTGGGAGTACTCTAGCAATGTTTTTGGCCTGCTTCGTCTATGTCTGGAACGGGTCAACATTGTTTTGGCGAGGGCTGGTTGCGCTGCCTGTTGCTTCATTTTGAGACGGTGAAGACTGGTTCTGGCCACTATCCTGGTTGGGGAAATACGCACCAGCTGCTTCACAACTCTTCTGAACGTCCTCTAACGATAGCAGGGAGAGGAGATTGCATCACCTCTTGGAATTTGAACCCTTTGAAACGAAGACAACGAGTGAAAATCACTGCAGCTAGTGCAACCATTCTGACGAATTGCGACTTTCCTCTTAACTCAATTATCACCAAGCCGTGAGGTCGCAAATTGATGTTGTGAAATTGCATTAAAGCTTCGTTCCTCTTGCCTCCTGATCTACGGTGACAACGAGCTGTCAATTTTTTGAATTCAAACTCTTCCAGTGTCACCGCATATGCACCTAATGCATATGCAATAACAGTAGGATGATGGTGTAAGGGGGGCTTGTAGTGGCTGTTATGGGAACATTAGCTAGTTATAAGAGTATTAGTTAGGAATCAGTTGTAGGTGTAGAACGTAGGAAAGTTACTGTAAGGGAGGGGTGTAGAAAGGGGGAAATTGGATGGGAGCGGTTGGGATTGCGAGGGAAAAGGCACCGAAGGGCGAAATAGGAAGCCAAGCAGTCCCAACCCCAAGCCGCACTTTTGGGAATGTGCAGCTTGGGGTTGGGTAAGGGCAGTCACAGCCAACCCCTCGATGCTTTTGTGCTGTTATTCTCTCATATTAGTGGAAAGCTGTTACCTCTGATCTAGCATCCGGTGGCACGCCACTAGGGGAGGACCTATGGGGTGAGGGAGGAAACTCGTTCATAACAGCACGAAAGCCCATCGAGCGGTTCGAGCAAATAGCATAGAATGGACTGCCACGAGCTGCGCTGGCAACGGACAGACTCGCGACGGGAAATCTTGCCGTCGCGGAGGATGCGCTCACGGGAGCATGGGAGATCACTTGCGCATTCGCCACGGAGGGCGGCGTACGGCGCGGATTTGGTGACGCCCGTCGGTGGGCGAGCTGAAGGTGTCAGGTCGGAGCCCAGGATGGGCAGTGACCCGCGGATTCTGGCAGGAGGCCAGCGCGGAACGGGTGTAAGGCGTCGCGACGGTGTGGACGGGGTAGATTCGTCCGATTCGGCAAGCGAGGCTGACGGCGCGGAAGAAGCAGACGGCGCGGAAGAAGCAGACGGCGCGGAAGAAGCAGACGGCGCGGAAGAAGCAGACGGCGCGGAAGAAGCAGACGGCGCGGAAGAAGCGGACGGCGCGGAAGGAGCAGACGGCGCGGAAGAAGCAGACGGCGCGGAAGAAACAGACGGCGCGGAAGAAGCAGACGGCGCGGAAGAAGCGGACGGCGCGGAAGGAGCAGACGGCGCGGGAGAAACAGACGGCGCGGAAGAAGCAGACGGCGCCGAAGGAGCAGACGGCGCGGGAGAAGCAGACGGCGCGGAAGAAGCAGACGGCGCCATCCCGATGGCGCGGGATGGTGAGAGGGAGGAAGTGGCGGAAGAAGGGCGCGACGGAGAGAGCAAGGATGCGGGAGGAAATTGCTCGCCGGTAAGGATGCGCGGAGGCGGCGCGAAGCGTCACGGGAACATGACGACAGGTCGTTCGCCGGAAGACATGCGCAAGGGAAGCGTGAGGCGCTGCGGGAGCACGGATGCAAACGGATTGGCAGACGAAGGGCGTGAGGAGGGCGCGAGGCACCGCGGGGGCGCGAATGCAGACGGATTGGCAGACGAAGGGCGCGGGGGCGCGGATGCAGATGGTACGGTGGACGAAATAGGTGGAAACAGTGTGAGGCACTGCGGAGGCAAGGATGCAGGTCGCTCGGCAGACGAAATGCGAGGTGGCAGCGCAAGGCGCCGCGGGAGAGCGGATGCAGACAGCTCGCCAGAACGGATGCGCGGGAGTGGCGGGAGGCGCCAAGGGAACATGGCGGCAGATCGTTCGCCAGAGGAGGTGCGCGAGGGAGATGCGAGGCGCCGCGGAACCGCAACGGCAGGTCGCTCGCCGGACGATCTTCGGGAGGACAGCAGGAAAAACCATGCGCCAATGGGACGGTACAGCTCGCCTGAGCTGCGAGGACGTGGGAGGAGACGCGTGGCGATGGCCGCGCGGCGATCGCCAGAGGTGCGGAGGGAGCAGTATGAGCGAGGGAGACTGGCAGGTCAATGAGGGCCTGCTGTTTGGGGGAGAGAGAGAGAGAGAGAGAGAGAGAGAGAGGTGAGGAGCAACGTGGGCGACGGGAGAGTAAGCCAGAGGAAGAACGGGGCAGACGAGCAGGTCCGGACGGGGAGCGAGGGGATTGTGAGGAAAGAGATGGGTGGTGCTCACCAGAGAGAGGAGGGGGGCGTGAGGAGGGACGCATCAGGGAAGGTGCACGACGATCGCTGGGCGCAACAAGGGCAGAAGAAAGGGGGAGAGGGAACCGACGGCGGCGGGAAGATGTGGAGCGAGAAAGGCGGTATCAGGAGCACTCGCATGATGGGAAGGAAAGGCGGTGGGACGGAGCAGAGAAGCGGAGAGCGGCTTACGAGAGAGAGCGAGGAAGGAGTCCGAGTACAAGGGGCCCGAGGGGGTGATGGCAATCAGGAGGAGGATCCGAAGGAGCCAGAGCGGCCAGAGAGGGGACAGAACGGGCGCTGTATGGGGCAAGCTCGGGCAGCAGGGGAACAAGGAAAAGGGGTGAAGAGAAGCAGAGTAGGCGACGGGAAATGATGCTTGCGCATGAAACGGAGAGTGAGGACGAAGGAGAGTGTGACGGACCTACGCGCCACAGGTCGGGCCGAAGGGAGGGGCGTTGGAAAGAACATTCCCCGGAGAAGAGGGAGAGACCAGGGTGGGGATCGGAGAGATATGGGGAGGCTCAAGAGAGAGAGGGGGGAAGGAGCATAGGTCCGACGTGGCGGAGAAGGCGGCAGCAGTCATGGGTAGGCGCTACGGGGGCAAGGGCAGCCAGGGAAGGAAGTGGTCGAGTGCTGTATGGGACAGAGTCAAGAAGCAGAGAGTTGAGGGAGAGGAGGGGAGAGAGTAGCAGGAGGAATGAGAGCTCAGGGACTTGGGAGACAGGGAGGTGGAGTGCGCAGGCCCCACCTCAGGTGGAGGTGCCAGTGCGCTTTACGGGGGGAGCAGGGTCAGACACAAACCTGAAGAATTACCTGATGCAAATCGGTAATGTGAAGTACCGCTGCGATAGGAGTGGGATGGACCCGATAGAGTTTTTCTTGAGCCTGCCGAACACGCTGGGAGGCGAAGCTGAGACGCTATATCGTATGAAGATGAAGGAATGGCTGAGGAGGGCAGAGGAGGAGGATGAGGACCCAACCACTCTGTTCCTAGAGCGGCTGCGGAAGCAGTTTCCAGGGCACACGGCGGAGAGGGTGAGAGAATTTCAGGAATTCCAGCGAGGGAGGGCCGAGTCACTGCTCACCTACTACGGTAGGTTGACGGATCTGGCGGAAGACGTGGTGTGCACAGATGGCAGCATGCTTATAAGCAAGTTCCTGGGGGGTCTGGATGAGGGATTGAGCGGCGGGCTGAGAATGAGAGTGTATGAGTTGGGAGCTGAAGCAACGCTGGAGGAGGTGTTTGAGTTGGCAGAGAGAGTGGAGCTGGCGCAGAGGCGGTATGAGGCGTACCTGCCGAGGGTGTTAGAGAAAGGGCGGCCCAGGTGGGCTGCAGCGATGATAACCGAGGACGGGGGTGGGGAGGAGCAGTGGCAGGAGAGGCGAGCAGAAACACGGACGTGCCACAGGTGCGGGCAGGAGGGGCATATCAGGAGGGAGTGCAAGAACTGTGATGTGTGCGGAAAGCCTGGGCACCGACAGAGGGACTGCCCAGATGCACCGAGCTGTGAGGTGTGTGGGAATCGGGCAAGAAACTGCTATGAGAAAGGAAGGGATGCAGGAGATCACCCAAGGAGATCGAGGAACAGATCAAACAGTTACGAGCCCAACTGCAGGCACTGGGAGAAAGAACTCAGGGACAAGCGGGGTTGTACGCGGAGGAGGAAGAGGGGCAGGAGCCAGAACACTCCGGTGCGGTGTTGCGTGGCCATGCAGACATGTGGCTGCGCAGTGGGGGCAGGGACATACGAAAGAAGCGGGGACTAAGGGCATTTGGGGAGAAGAGGAAGCGGGACTGGGATGAGGAGCTGCACTGGATTGCAGCAGGATACAGGTTCGGGAAACAGGTGGCCCTGAGAGACCACTCCCCATACAGCCTCCTCTACGGATGTGAGCCGGTGCTGCCAGTGGGGGCAACCCGGGTCCTCACAGACACAGTGACGGCAGGCACCATAGACAACTGGGTGGCGCTGTCAGAAGCTAGAGCAAGGTACATGCGGGTGATGATGCCGGCAGCATTGGAGAACTTACACACAGCACAGCTGAGAGATGCCAGGCGCTATGAACAGCGGCAGCAGCAAGGGGCAGGCAGGAGAGTACAGAAGGGCGTGGGGCTGGAGCAGGAAGTGTACCTCAGGAAAGCAAAGCAAGATACCTTGGACGTCTGGGTGGGGGCCGAGAGATGGCGGGTGAAGGAAATACGCCCCTCTGGGATACTAGTTCTGGAGAACGAGAAAGGGGTCCGACTGAAGGAACATCAGACCAACACGGCCGTGGTGAGGGGCAGCAAGCCTCAGCAGAGTAGTCCTGTGACACGAGCTCAAGCTGCTCGAGCACGGGCACAGGAGGGGGCAGGTGGTGACTGAGGCAGAGTACAACAAGGAAGGAAGCAGGAGGGAGACACACATGAGAAGGAAAGTAGAGGCGGCAAGGAGACAGATCTCCTTGGGCAGAGGCGGTGAGCGGGAGCGCAGGAAAGGAAGGATGAAGCAAGCAAGCAGAAGAGCAGGTACCGAAGAGGAGTCTCCGACATACTCCACATTTTGATACGATTCAAATTGGGAAAGATTGCCACGATCAAGTGCTACAACATAGACAAGTTTGAGAGCAGGGGACGACGATGCGCTTTCGTCGACGACGTTTCTTGTGACGACGACTTATCTGTCCAGAATGATAGTTGACGATTTTGAGATATTTTGGCCCCTGATCTTCATAGACTCCGTCCTTAGTCTCAAACATGTTGAGAAAAGCCCTGCATGTGCATGGGCGAGAGCAGGGGCTTCCGCAGAAGCTAAACCAAGGAGTCTGCACGAGGTGAAGAAGTACCCCTGCACAGGATGTACCGAGGTATCTGTGCACGAGGTACTGTGGGGTCCGCAGGTGCAGCAGCAATATCTTGTGCACATGTGCAGGGGGCGGAGCTCGTGCAGGAGTTCGCGGAAGTTCATCTGCGCAGGGTCGCGTCTGACCCTGCGCACCCTCGTGAATGCACATTCGAATTTCGGAGAGAAATTCGATGTGCGCGAATTTCGACCAATGGGTGCGCAGGGAATTTCGACCAATCAAAATCTGACGGAAATTGTACCCGTCAGGGGAAATTGAACCAGTAACGAAAATGAACCTGCTACACGTTTTTGTAACAGCAAAAACGTACACACCTATGTCAGGTGTACAACCTCGGTAACTACTTAGTTAGGTGAAAAACACATGGGCCGTTTTTTCACCTGCCATTGCTGAGTTGGAATGGCACATGCTTGGTAGTTAGCTGAGCGTTCCTCTTGGAACGTTTCTGCAGGGTTCCTTGTTCTAGTATATTGTTCACTTGTTGTTGTACTATACTTGTTCTTTCTTGTTCAATCATTTCCTTAGTGAAACCTCTGCTTGGATTCAACTAAGACAGCAACTCTGTCAAGAGTACTAGCAAGCAGAATTCTACCCACGCAGCCCTTAGCCTGCCAGCTCTTCCGTTGTCTAGAATTCTCTGCATGGTGCGGTGAGCATGGACGAGCACACGCGATACCTTCAGATAGAAGCGTAGGCGATCACGAAGTTGTCTAGCTAGCAAGCAGCCACGAAAGGCTCCGTATGTCTGACGACGGCGTCGCTTCGGAAGCCATGGATACCTTGGAGGCCCAGGAGGCTGTCATGCGGGAGCGATTCAGCGATACTGGAATTAGCGCGGAGATCCTGCGCACCTTTCGTATCAGTGTCCCGAACGTGTCAGCAAGGATTCTGATGATGATCACGAAGCTCCGCGCGTGCGTCAACCTCGTCGCGACAATGCATCTCTCAAGGAGAAGCAGCGCAACGACTCCAAGGGCCAGCAGTCAGCAGCCACTGGGACCTCCCGCGGACAGAGTGCAAAGGAAGCTCCGAGTGACGATGCGTACGACAAAGGACAAGCATCTTGCTCGATGGTCAACGTAGTGACGGATGCACCTGCGGAGGTGACAATCTCCCTGGCCCCGGAAGACTTTCAAGCATACGCCGCGGCTGTGCAAGGGAACCCATCTGTGGTGCTCCTCGACAGTGGTTGCTCTCACCACCTTATGGGAATGCGCGATCCATTCGTTGATATGGATGCGGGAGGAGACGTACATCATGTGCGTGGGTTCAACGGTGCAATCCAGGTCGTCCAGGGGCGCGGCACAGTTGCTCTTCAGGGGGCAACGGGAATGAAGATTCTTTTCCCGGATGTGTTGTATGTTCCTGGTGTGCAGGCGAACCAACCGGTCAGCTGAAGGACAGCGGCGTGAAGCTCCAGGACGAAGGCGATGAGACGCTGCTTCTATCTGCGGAAGGAGCAGTCCTTGGACGAGCATGCTACAGCGGTCGAGTTCTCAGGACCGCCTCCGCCCATGTTTGTCACAGCCGACGTCGATGCCGACGGAGACAATCGCCTTGCGAACGATCACCTCGTCCACGTGATCTTCGGCGGACGTCGGGCATGCACGACTTGTACATGCAGGCGTTGACACGATCAAGCGCACTGCGGCACATGGCGCGGCAGCTGGGTTGGAGATTACACCAACAACGGGTGCAGATCTTCCTTGCGTTTCTTGTGTTGGAGGGAAGCTGGTGAGGCACACCTTCCCCGACCAAGGCTCCGAAGCTGAGAATGTGTTGGACATCGTGCACATTGACCTATGCGGACGCTTTCGCGTTGCTGCGAAAGATGGCAGTCGATACTTCCTTCTCCTCAAGGATCGCAAAACTCGCTTTGTGTGGACTTTCCCGCTCAAGCAGAAGAGTGACGTGCTGGAGGAGTTTCAGAAGTGGCTGACGAAGGTGGAGAGGCAGCGTGAGCCGTCAAAGGTGAAGATGATACGTTCTGACCGAAGAGGATAATTCTTGGGCAAAGACTTCACCAAGTTCCTCGACAAGCAAGGCATTGTCCACGACTTGACATGCCCGTACACTCCGCAGCAGAATGGGATGGCTGAACGGGAGATGCGGACGGTCGTCAAAGCGGTGCGGACGATGCTCCTGCACATGAATGTGCAACACCTCTGGTGGCATCTTGCCCTTCGCCAGGCTGTGTGGGTGCGCAACTGCATCGAACGTGCTTCCTTGCCCACAGGCACAACACCGTTTGAGCTGATGTACAAGACGAAGACGGACCTCACCATGGCTCGCGTATGGGGATGCATGGTCCAATTCATGGTTCCGCAGCATCAGCGTGGTGGGAAGATTGCCCCAAAGGCCCGCTGGGGTCTTCACCTTGGTGTTTCGCCTCCAAGCAAAGGCTGGGAAGTGCTGGATCTTGTTGACAATCGCATCGTCACCACCGTCGAGGTGATCTTTTACGAAACGCAGTCGCTGGATGACTGGAAGGCACAGCGTGCACCACTGTCCGCGGACAATCGTGTCCCT